GGGGTGATGACGTTAATCTAATAATTAACCTTAATGTAATTATAAATTGCTTTAATTAGTTTAAGATCTATATAACCAATAAGTGAATAGTAGAACTCTATAAAGAATTATAGTATTATAACATAGGAAAACTAGAGTATACAGAACTTGTACTTATAGAAAGAGAACAGGAGATTTTTTATGAAGCAATACAAAAAGGAGAAGACCCAGTTAACTGTATTATAATGGAAAAAATAGTTGGTTACATAGTAGAAGTAAAAAAAGCTAATAATTCGAAGAATACTAGAGAAAAGAGAAAAACAATATGCTGAATTAAAGTTGAAGCTAGAAGCAGGTTGGAGCAGAAGACTCCAAGAACAAAGAAAAAGCCAACAAAGATAGCACAACAAAACAGTCTTAAAGACAATAATAAATCAATTCAAAATTTCACAAGGAATTTTTTTTGTTAGAAGCCAAAAGGTAGTTTCATAATCAACATTTTGAGATATCTATATTGTCTGTATACATATACTCTGTGTACAAATAGAAATTGCCTAAGCTAAATACTACAAAAATAAAAATTATCAAATTTTTTAAAACCTGTTTTTTGTATAAATTAATTTAGAATAAGATCAGAAATATTTTTTGCTTAATATATACATTTAGTTGCATTAATAAAATCTTGCAGTATAGCTCTTTAAAATTTATATTTTCTTATAATTTATTATAAACTTTATATAACAAAAATTAATGTTTTTTGTCGATTTTCTACTTTTTTGTAACACTTGGCCCATACGTATTATTTTAGAATTTGTATAAAAGTTAATTTTTATTCTCAAAAATGTTATACAATTATAGATAATACTAAATAACATTTTTATCCTGCATATTTGTTTGTTTGTATATCATAACAAATACTATAAAAATATTGAATAAAAGTAAAAGCGATATGATTTTCTACTTTAAAGATGAATGTAACTGAAGAATGCACAAATTGCCAAAAAAAACAGAGCATACAGCTATTTTTAAAGAAAATAATATATATTATAAAACATGTCATACTTGTAGAACAAAAGATAATTTGCATAATACACAGTTAAAAACTAGCAATCTTTAAGTTAAACAAGTTTTGACTCTAGAAGAAATAAGCAAACAAATATATAATAGAGTATCAGATATTGGTGAACATGAATATATAGAAAGTTTTGAAGATAGCATTAACTATTCATACAGGGCTATACTTGGCGATCATTTAGAAGATATTAAAGAAGTAGCTAATTTAATAAAAAAAATCGTTAGTAAGAGTGATGGATATAAATATATGTGAGTTTTATTAATTTTGAAATTTTAATAACAAGCATAGTTATTAATTAATTTTATTCCTAGCTTTAATCACAAAAATCAAGATATAAAGAAAGATAATATTACA